GTCAGTAATTCCTTAATATTGCTGGAAAAAAGTTATTTCCACTGCAGATTATTCCACTTACAATATGGAAAAATGTCTTGTTAGTGAAATAATCTGCCAGTAGAACTAGTACTATTTAATGAATATTAAGGGATTATTTGCTCTAAACTAAACCCAGGAAATGCGTTGGTGAAAAAACAAGCTTAGATTTTTCCCAAAGATCTTCAAAAACAAAAACATCAGTTTATCAGTAAATAAAGGAGAATAAATAGGTTTTCTGATTGCTTCTCTCATCCCAGGATGTTTACGATAAGCTGGACTACCTGAGCTCGTTGGGGAAGACGCAGATCGCCGCCGTGCAGCGGGACGCCGACATCGGCGTGGCCGAAGCAGAGCGGGATGCTGGGATACGGGTAACCGGGCAGGTTCTGCTCCAGACGTGTCATGGCTGCCGTTGCTCTGACTGAACCCGCTCTCCGCTGTCATCTGACTCCAGGAGGCCGAATGCAAGAAGGAGATGATGGACGTGAAGTTTCTGGCCGACACCAAAATGGCCGACTCCAAGCGAGAGCTGGAGCTGCAGAAAGCTGCGTTCAACCAGGAAGTCAACACCAAGGTGAGACCTGGAGGTTTCCAACACCTGGGTGGCGATTCCTTACAGCTCATGTTTCATAAAAACACGACTTTCTGATCCTGAACCGCAGCTTTTCCTTCAGCTGACAGAAAAACCTCTGACAGGGATCATTTCCTGTGTCTGTCATAAAAAATGTTTTTCTCATATTTGTTCAAGCTCAACAGTTTGTTATGAGACAGATAATCTCCAGACCAAAAGCAACCAATCAGAACCAGGAGGCGGGTCTTAGAGCTGTCAGTCAACCTTGTGAATGCGCTACTAAACAGGGTAATGGGGGAGAAACAACTAACTGAAGGGGAGAAGCTGCGGCGTAGCAGAGAGCAAGCACACAGACATGATTGTCAGCACTAAGACCCGCCTCCTGCCTCTGATTGGTTGTTTCTAGGCAGCACTAAAAGAAGCCAGATGAGTCATGTTTGATTTTTTTTCTCACAGTTTCACAGAAGACGTGGTGACAGTTTCAACAAATACGTAGAAAACATATTTTCTGCAAAAGCTCCATGTACCGTTTCCTTCAGATAATTTGAGCAAATCGTGTTTTTAGATGTTTAAATACTTATAAATTGATTCTGGCGTACAGATAATGAAAACTGAAAACTAGAAAACGGAGAAAAAGTGAAATGGCTCATTTCGGTCGCTCACTCTGGGATTCAATTATTGATCCGTTTAACTGACAGGAAGGTTGGCTTATCTTTCATACATTAATCAAAGTTACAGAAATTGCGACATTTTGTGTTAAATTAGTGTTTTGTTCTTGCATGAGTAATAAAAATACTTGGTAAGATTTTATGTTTTTTTCTCAGTCTGCCTAACTCAGGTGCTTGAAATCCTTAAATTTCAATCAGATGTTTTCAAGGTTTGGGAAGTTATTGATATTGAAACTGAGTAGTTTTGTGAAAAAGTTAAATTTAATGCTTAATTAAAAGCCTAAATTTAGAAAATGTTACTTACAGTTGAAGCCAGATATTTTAATTCATCTAACAAAGAGACACCATCTGAAGTTAATTCAGACTAAACTTTTCTTCTTTTACATCAGTTGGAATCAGCAAAATTATTTTTGAAAACCAGGAAACTTGGTGAGAATAATTTTTAATTTGAGCAGGAAGTTAATTTACCTTAAAACAATTTATGTTGTTAAATTAATCGATATGAATTATTCCTAAAAGCTCAATGACTGATTATTCGTCATTATATGGAATTATTGAAATTAGAGGATATTTGTTAAATGAGTGTTTTGTTCTCAGACCAGTCGGGTGTATAAGGTAAGAGAGAAACTTAAAAACATCAGATTTTCTTTTATGTTAGCTTTCTAGAGTAATATAAGACTAACAGTAATAAATTACATATTAAACTGTCGTTTTTGTTCATTTGTATTGTTTTTTTCTCCAGTGTTCAGAGTTTGAAACTTACCTTGAAACTGCCTGAAAAGTTCTTGAATTTTCCTGACTCTCGTCTCGTGTCGATGTTTGTCCAGAAAGCCGAGTCCCAGCTGGCCTACGAGCTCCAGGCCGCCAAGGAGCAACAGAAGATCCGGCTGGAGGAAATCGAGATCCAGGTGGTGCAGCGGAAGAAAGAGATCACCATCGAGGAGAAGGAGATCGACCGGATGGAGAAGGAGCTCATCGCCACGGTGAAGCGGCCGGCGGAGGCGCAGGCCTACAGCATGCAGCAGCTGGCCGAGGGGCAGAAGTCAGTCAGACCGCCTCCGCATGCCCTGCTCCAGGTCCTGGTGTGTTTTAGGACGTGTGTGTGTGTGTGTTTGCGTCAGGACGAAGACGGTGCTGATCGCCCAGGCCGAGGCGGAGAAGATCAAGCAGATCGGAGAGGCCGAGGCGTCGTCCATCGGCGCCGTGGGGAAAGCCGAGGCGGAGAAGATGAGGATGAAGGCCGAAGCCTACCAGCAGTACGGAGAGGCGGCCAAGACGGCGCTGGTCCTGGAAGCTCTGCCCAAGGTAGGCGGGGAAAACATGCTGTTTGAATGTAATGAACATTTATTATTCCTAATAGTTTAATGACTTTCACTGATTTAACTGTCTGATTGCAGATCACCGCTAAGGTGGCGGCGCCTTTAGCCAAAACCAACGAGATCGTCATCCTCAGCGGCGAGGGCAGCCGCGTGACGGGCGAAGTGACCCGCCTGCTGGCCGAGCTCCCCGTGTGCGTCAACGCGCTCACCGGAGTGGACCTGACAAAGGTTTCTATCCAATCACTTTGATAAACGTCCTTTAGTGGAAGTTTTCTGAGTCGGATCGTATCGGCCAATGCTAAACCTCAGACATCGAAGTCTGAATCCAACTTTCACACAAATCCCCATAAAATGTGTAGCAGTTTGTGGTTGGATTGAGGTTATTATGGTTAACTAAAACAAACGAAATAACAAAACCGAAACTGAGAAAACTTTTTTGTTTACTTAAATAAATAAAAACAGAAATTAATGGGAATAAACTACAGTTAACTCTAGGAAGAGCAGCCATTGTTATGGCTGATAGGGAACCAAACTAACAAACTAATAACAAGCTAACTGAACTGCTAGCTAGGTCATCTAGCTAGTTAGCTAGCTATCTAACCAGGATACCAAAAGGCAAAGTAACTGACTAGCTCACTAACAATCTAGTTAACCAACGAGCTAACTAAGCAGCTAACTAGTTAACTAGATAACTATGTAGTTATCTAGTTACCAAATAGCAAACTATCTCACTAACTAACTAGCTACCTAACCAATATTTAACTAATAAAAACAAGCACACCCACTCTAAGCAGTAATCTAAAAAGTTACAACAAAAGAAAACATACTTATAAACTGCGGTGTGAATATTTTTGCATTTCAACCTGTAGTTGTTGTTTTGCAGCTGATCTGTTTCCACAGTTATTATTCACTCCCTCTCTGTCCAGATCCCGTTGCTGCAGAAGATGGCGTCTGCTGAGGCCTGAGTGCGGCCCGGCCCGGCCCGGCCCGACCCGGATGCACCCACTGACTGCCTTGAACATGTGGAAGCGCGTTGTTCTCCGCGGCTCCTCTGCGTACCGGGAGGATTCTGGAAACCTCTGGTGCCTTACTTCACGCAGGACCAGAACATCTGCATGCACTGCTCATCGTCTTGAAACGTGGGAATATTTTGCTATCCGTACTTATTTATTCAGGTGTTTGGGGCTGTATGTGTGTTATTTAAAAAAGGTGAGCTGATGGTAGACGACCTGCTGATTCCGATCCGCATTATATGCATCAAACTTTTTAATGTGACATATTTAATTTGCTCTTTGTTCCCTCGTCTTTTTGATAAGAATAAGCTCCTGTGATCGGTCTGTTCCAGGGATTTTTGTTTGTTTATATACCTCTCTCATGGGAGACACCTGTGTTCTGTAGATAATCAGATATATAAATATATACATAATATATTTTAGTTTTGTCTAAAAGTGATTTTAGTTGTCAGTTTTATTGACTAAATGCTTTAATAGGTCATTTTCTTTTTGTAACAAAGGTGCTTGTAATCTAAAACGGTTGTTTTGGTTACCAATTGAAATTATTTTTCTTTTTTCCCTCTGAAAACTTTATTGATATCAAACATTTTGCAGGAAAATAAACGGGTAGAAAATAAAATCCTCTTTATATGTAAACACAGCTTGTAGTGGTTAGCTGCGGTTTTAATGGGAAATGATGCAAACTAAAGAACATTTAGTGAGGAAAAGCTCCTAATGTCTTTGAGTTGCTTCTGGAGGAGAAATGTTGGAAGATTTGAATATAAAAACATAATGTGTCGGTTTAAATCTCATGCCACAGTTTCCTGCAGATGCAAAGCCATGTTTATTAGTTTGTTTTAGAGAAAAGCACTTTGTTTGACTGTTCACATCTCAGCTGATTTATTTGACTGTTATGAAATATCAGTCTTTTACCTCCTGGTACTGTTGTTCATGCCATGCTAACGTCATCATGTTTCGCTTTAGCTCCGCTCTGCTGTACAGAATCTGTCCGTTTGGGACCTAAACGCCAATCCAGACTCGACTCAGGCAGAAAAATCGACAGCGGCAGCTGGTGTAGAAAACTGATGTGCACTGTGTCTCTGAAGAAGCCATGAGCTCCAAAATGTTTTTGTTATTTGCATGTCATTCATCTGTATGTGCTCACTCTTAACCGCCATTGGAATAAATCTGACTGCTGTAACTATTTTGATTTTCATGGTTGTTATTGTTTTGCCACATTGGGAACTGTTGTAAGTAAAGTCGGGCCCGGCCCGAGTTTGTCTGAATAAAAAATGAAAATTGTTCTTGGCACTTTTACAAAGAAAACTGGCCAAATTATTAAACTCTAAAACAAATTTCAAGCAATTGAAAATGTTTAATTTCATTAATTAAATTGGAAAAATACTTCATTTATTCCAAAGGAAAGATAAATGTAAACTATATCATCCAGGTATATTCAGTCGTGGTCAGGAAGGATCTCCAGTAGCAATCAGTCTTCCAGGGAATCAGAAGAGGCCTCTGAATGAAGAGTTGCTGTATGAACATCTCAATATTCATTCAGCAGAGATGATATTCCAAGGTAAGATGTCCTAGACAACAATGTCAGTTATAAGCTAGCGCTGCTAATCCACCTCATTTGCTTCTGCTGCTCCTCTTTAAATCTGTCTGGCCGTTTGGTTAGGAAACCGGGCAAAGAGATGTTGGAGTCTGGGATAAGATCCTCATTTATGATGGATGGAAGAATTCTCCTTTTCAACTCCTCTGGGATTCTGGTCAAAGTTCAGGTATTATTTGAGCTTTCAGGTTCTTAATAGTTATGCAAACAAGTCAAATGTTTCTCCTTTGATCTCTGCAACCTTTAAAGAGCTGTTTTTGTTACTTATATAAATTATTGTCATTTTGGTCCTTAAAGTACCAAAATTTCCATTTAACTTTATATTTTGGTCCATCTGATGATGTAATTTTTAAATATAAAATGAATGATAATTTGTTCAGTTACTCTGTACTTGAATAGACTTTTTATCAAATACTTTTTTATTCTCGCTTGAGTAATTTCTTACTACATTTAACTTTTACTTGAGTAACAATATGTTGAAGTATTGCTACTCTTACTTGAGTACAATTTTTGGGTACCCTACGCACCTCTTGTTGAATATATATTCTAATAGTTTAAGACACTAGTAAATAAGATATTTTCTGTTTAGTTCAGATACAGAAAATGTTTTTGTCCCTCCTCTCCCGCCCAGCAGGGGGCGGTAGAGAGCCGCTGAGCCGGTTGCGCAGCGCCGCTGAGCCCGGAGAAGGAGCAGAGGAACAGATGTTGCTGCCGTAGCCAGACAGCAGCTCGGAGAAGCGGGCAGCCGGAGGATGGTGTCTTCATTTTTAATTTATTATTGTTGAATTTCAACAAAATGAAGCGGCTTTACTCATAATTTCGTGAGGAGTGAGTATCGTTGCGTTTAACGCGTCTCCTCTGGCTAATGGTGCTAAAATGCTAAAGTTTTCAGAGCAGCTGGCCTGGTCACAACAAGCACAAAGAAGCTCCTTATTTATTGGGTTTGACTCGAGATAAAGTCCCCATCGACGAGATTTAAATCCGGCCAGAGGAGCACCGAGGCCCCGCTGATCCCGCTGTCCGTGGTCAGTAGCCGGATTCGGGCTGTTTATAATGGATCGGTGCTAATGTTAGCTAGGAGATAAACACTACAGAGCTAACGTTTCTGTGCTGAATGTGTGACCAGGCCCTGCTCTAAAAAAGTCTTAAATAGAGAACAAAATGAGGCTTCTGCTCTAAATGTCTCATTACGAGCCTGAATTATTGTCTGAATTTGTCCTCGGTGTGTCTTTAGTGGTGCAACAGCAAATTAAGCTCTTTTCTCCACGTAGTTTTCTAGAGAAATCCAGGAGTTTTCAGTGAGTCGTGAATCTGGAAGTGAATCAGTGATGAATCAGCCTGTCAGTGGATGATAAATGTCTGCATTAATATGCTCTTCCAGTGAACTGGAGCTAATTATGATTCTGTTATTGATCTGCTTTCTGGAACTGTTTACTGTGCTGTGAATCGGCCTGCAGTGACTGTTGGTCTGATTTGGCTTCGTTTAGGAAGTCCTGTGATGCATTTCAAACATGCAGCTCTGCAACATGACTCATGAGTTTTATGAGCACCTGTCACATGGTCACCTCTTTAAGTGTACACCAGATCATAATAAAACTGTTTTTAAAGGTTCAGATATGATTTAAATCTGATTTCTAGTCGTTTATCGATCAGATACTCGAGCTGCTCCCTGATGACTGAGCTTCCCAGCCTGTCCTGCTCTGAAGCCTGAGTTAATGCAACGCCAAGGAACAAGTTCACCATTCTGCTGAGAGAGATTATTCACAAGTGGGAAGTGTTTAAAACATCCGCTAACCTTTCCAGCAGGAGTCACTCACTCACTCATTCCATCTCAGGTTAAATGTTAAAGTTTGTGACAGAAAAACTGGAGAAGTACGGCTTGGGGAGTTAAACGGTTTACAAACAGGCATCTGATAGAAGCGTTTCCTACATGAATTTCTGGTGTGACAGAGATGAATGAGGTTGTTGAATTTTGAATCATTCATTTGATTCAGCCGTGTTGGAGGGTTGTGTCCATACACAGTCAGACATCTGGTAAAACAAATACGTTTTTATGCATTTTATCCAAACAAAAACTCAGTTTAAAATCATTACAAACTCTGACAGAAGTGGAGCTTTGAGAAAACTTTGAACCCTAAACATTCTGTGACAAATAATGCGGCAATAATTTCACATACTTGCGTTAACTTGGTTCCAAATTGACATAATCATGTGTTTTATTGACTCTATATTCTAACGTCCAGCGGCGGCTCTGCTTGTCTCCAGGATGATGAGAGGGACACGTCCGGCGCTGCAGTAGAGGAGCAGTGACATGCTGGCTTGCCTGCCGGCGTCAGGTGACTCCGCCATCCGACTTCTTCACCGCACGCAGATGAACACTGGACTTCAGAAATGTAAGCATGTTTCACCATCAGATTTTAGGAAAATTGTTTTTGCAGACATATTTCTCTCACGGCTGTGGGCGGCATGTGAAGGACTCGTCTTGTTTCCCTCCAGTGTTGTGCGCATGTGTGAAATTTCTGGATGTAAACAATAACATGCATCACATCTTTAGCATTAGCTAATTCACAACACTCATCCCTAGAAGGATCTTTGGTTAAAATGAAATATTAAGATCAACAGTAAACACAATAAAATGACTAATAAGAGACGTACTCAATCTATCGAATGTTAAAGGTAAATGCAGATTTCCTGCCTCGTGTCTAAATGCTGTTTTAATGCCGACTGACTGAACATTTCAGGGGAAACCACACAGAAGATGAGATCTGTCACCCATCCGACGCCTGCAGAGTTGGACGCCTATGCTAAGAAAGTCGCCAACAAACCTTTGAGCATCCAGATCTTCCCAAACAGCATCAAGGTTCCTCAGAAGAAGCACGTCCGCCGCACCGTCAACGGCCTGGACACTTCGTCGTCTGCGCAGCGCCACAGCCCGTACCCTCCGCAGCTGGCCGCCGGCGCCGGGCTCCTGGCCGTCCTCCGCGCGCCTCTCCGGGGCCTCGTCAAGCAGCCGGACGGCTGTCGCACGCGGCTGCAGCTGAAAGCCGCCATGAACCCTCAGAGCGGCCCGTACGCCGCGCCCAGCACTTTAAACCTCCCGCACCTGGCCTCTCAGAAGCAGGGGGCGGGGCATCCGCAGCAGAGCCTGGCACACCCGATGGCGCTGCAGCATCACCAGAGGAGCGTGGCTCACTCTCAGGCCCTGCAGCAGCCGCAGAGGCTGACGCATCCGCCCGCCGTGCAGCGACAGCTGCCCCCTCAGGACGTGGCGCCCTGCGCCGCCGCCATGCCGCAGCAGCACCTTTCTCACATGCAGACTCTGAAGCATCAGGCGGCTCCAGCGCAGGCTTTGGGAGCGACTCAGGAGCTGCGTCACGTCCCGGACAGCGCGGCCATGCAGGCGGCGCCGCCGGGCCCCCCCGCCCTGCCGCCGCCGCCGTACGGCGCCCGCAAGCTGCCGGACGCTGACGCCCCGCCCAACGTGACGGTATCTACCTCCACCATCCCACTGTCCATGGCGGCCAGCCTGCAGCAGGCGCGGCCCGGCGACCTGAGCAGCATTGTGCTGCAGATCAACCAGCTGTGCCAGGCGCGCGCCGGCATGGGCGCCACGTCCGTCTGCGAGGGCCAGATCGCCAACCCCAGCCCCATCAGCCGCAACCAGCTCATCAGCGCCAGCTCCAGGGTTTCCCAGCATGCCTCGGGGGCCGGTGGCGTCTCCAGCTGCCTGCTGATGGACAAGCCGGCCGCTCCGGCTCCCGCTGCGGCCGGCAGCAACAACAACATGGCTGCTTTTCACCCGGACAGCGACAAGCAGCTGCAGCAGCACCTGCTGCAGCAGAAGCAGCAGCAGCATCTGCAGCAGCAGCTGCAGCAGCAACGTTCTTGGGCGCAGCACCAGCTGGCCCACATGCAGCAGCCGCCGGAGGGAGCGCACCCCTGCAAAAATCCACGGCTGGATCCGGCGGTCGAGTGCGCCTTCCCCTCCCACAGCCTGAGCTACGGCCACAAGCCGCCCGCCGCCGCGCTCGGCTTCCCGCTGAAGCACGCCGCCGACAAAACGCTGCCCCCCTCCTCCGCCACCAACTGCTCCTACCTGAACGGCCACTACCTGCAGCCGGCGTGGGGCGCCGTCCCGGCCGCCGCCGGGAACAACGGGAACATTCCTCAGGACCTGCCGGTGGGCTTTCAGGGCGGACACCCCGCCGCAGAGCGCATCCCGGGAGCCAAGTACCGGCCGGGGAAGGACGGCTCCGCCGGCCAGCCCAAGCTGCTGCAGCACAGCATGGATTTCCTCGGCGAGGATTTCCAGATCCCCGGCATGCAGGAGCAGAGCGTGGAAATGATGCATAAGATGCACCGGGGCGGCGGCGGCGGCCATCATCACCAAGGTTACCATTAGACTCCACATCGGCCCGTTTGTTCCCTACAGCACTTCAACCTGCTGAGCAGAGCTGGGTGATAAAAATTGCTTTCTTCTCTAAAAAAGAAAATACAAAAATATTTTCTTAAGTGCCCTGCGACACACTGGTGACCTGTCCAGGTCCAGGTGACCTGTCCAGGTCCAGGTGACCTGTCCAGGACCAGGTGACCTGTCCAGGACCAGGTGACCTGTCCAGGACCAGGTGACCTGTCCAGGACCAGGTGACCTGTCCAGGA